CAGAAAACATCTTTTTTTTATTTCCAAGAGGCACGGCCGTGACTCTCGCGAAAGCACAACCATGCCTCTCGCGAAAGAAAAAAAAACAAAAAACGCGTTTTTTTCCGTTTCCGAGAGGCACAGTCGTGACCCTCGCGAAAGCAAAACCGTGCCTCTCGCAGAAGCAAAACCATGACTCTCGCGAAAGAAAAAAAATTGCGCAATTTTTTTCCGATTTTTTTTATTGAAAAGCTAAGGAAGACCGGTGAAAAACCAAAACGTCAAAAAATCCAAAAAAAACCCGCTAAAAGCCGAAAACGCGTGCGAAAAAATAAAAAAGTAAAATAAAATCCGGAAGCTTTCCGCAGGCGCCGAAGAGAACTGGCGCCCATGATCTCGCAAGACGCAATGCGGAAAAAGATCGCCAGAAATACCTCCCGTCTGGGATTCGTACTCATGACCAAGCGCTTCTATAAGAAGAGGCTAACCACTGGACCAGCCTCCTGCTTGTGAATATTCACAGCGCAATGTTTTTAAAGAATGGAACTAGACGCGCAATTTACTACACATTACATTGTAGTGTTTTATTTTCTAATTATTTGAAAACATGTTCACATATTACCAAATAAGGTTCATAAAATTTGAAAAAACTTTTATTGGTTTTGAAAAACGTTCATCAAAATTGAAAAAAATTAATGGATTTTCATTTAATGTTCATCAAACTTGAAAATAGTTCATTGAATTTGAAAAACATTCATCGAAATTGAAAAAAAGTAACTAATTTTTCAAGAAAAGTTCATCGGATTTGAAAAAAGTTCATCGGATTTGGAAAAAAGTTCATCGGATTTGAAAAAAGTTCATCGAATTTGGAAAATAGTTCATCGAGTTTGGAAAAGAGTTCATCGAATTTGAAAAAAGTTCATCAGATTTGGAAAAAAGTTCATCAGATTTGGAAAAAGTTCATAGTATTTGGAAAAAAAGTTCATCAAATTTGAAAAAAGTTCATCGGATTTGGAAAAAAGTTCATCGGATTGGAAAAAATTTCATCAAATTTGAAAAGAGTTCATCGAATTTAGAAAATAGTTCATCGAGTTTGGACAAAGAGTTCATCCAATTTAAAGAAAGTTCATTGGATTTCAGAAAAAGTTCATCAGATTTAACAAAAATGTTCACGATTTGAAAAAGAAAATATATCTATTTGTAAACATTTCGCGCATTTAAGAAAAAAAGAAAACAAAAACAAAAAAGAAAGGAGAAAAAACACAGAAAACATAGAGGAAATTTCCTGTATGTATTAAAAGACGGAAAGGAAGTTTTGATCCATGAGTTAGGCGTTGGCGTAGTGGTCCGTCGAGTTGGCTATCGACGGAGAGGTCTTTGGTTCGATTCCTGACTAAGCGTTATTTCCTTCGATTTCCTTTTTTGAGTTTCAAAACAGGGGGAAGAACTGGTAATTGGACCGAGCCCAGCTAGCGTCGCTGCAGGCGCCGGTTTGCGGAAACAAC